TTTAATCTGAACTTCCTGATGACATATGATGGGGTGCGTGTTTCCCCATGTTTATTTGCCATGTGGGTATCTTCTTTGATGAGTTTTCTATGAAGGCCTTTGGCCCATTTAAAAACAGATCAAGTTTTCTCATTGTTAAGTTTTAAGAGTTCATTGTATACTTTGGATAACAGTCATTTTTCAGATGTGTCTTTTGCAAATATTTTCTTCCAGTCTGTGGTTTGTCTTCTCATTCTCTTGGCATTGTCTTTCCAAACTTTTTAATTTTAATGACGTACAGTTTACCTTTTGTTTCATGTATCATGTCTTTGGTGTTGTATTTAAAATGCCATTGTCATCCCCAAGGTCATCTAGATTTCCTATGTCATCTTCTAAGAGTTTTATAGTTTTGCATTTTACATTTAGGTCTGTGGTCCATTTTGAATTACTTTTTGTGAAAGATGTAAAGTTTGTGTCTAGATTTATTTTTTTTTTTTGCATGTGGATATCCAGTTGTTCCAGTAATTACATTTTTGAATTTTATCTTTTCTTTTAAAAATTATTTTTAAATTTTACCATTTTATCTTTTCTCCATTGTATTACCTTTGATACTTTGTTAAGTATCAGTTGTCTGTATATGTGTGGGCCCATTTCTGGGCTCTGAATTCTGCTTCATCATTGAATTTGTATGCTCTTTTACCAATACTATGCTGCTTTGATTACCGTAGCCTTAGAGTAGGTCTTGAAATTGCATATCAGTTCTCTAACTTTGTTGTTCTTCTTCATTGTTATATTGACTGTTTCGGGTCTTTTGTCTCTCCATATAAACTTTAGAATCAGATTGTGGATATCCACAAAATAACTTGCTGGGATTTTGAGTGGGATTGCATTGAATCTACAGATCAAGTTGGGAAGAACTGACATCTGAGTAGTATTGAGTCTTTCCATGCATGAACATAGACTATCTCTCCATTTACTTAGTTTTTTAATTTCACTAACCAGAGTTTTGTCATTTTCCTCATATGGATCTTGTGCATATTCTGTTAGGTTTATACATAAAGATTTCATTTTGGGTGGCTGCCTAGCTCATTTTTTATAAATAAATTGAAAATAGATAAGATTTAAACATGTAAAAATAAACCATAATACTAACAGCAGAAAAAATGGATTTTTTTTATGATCTTGGCACTAAATACAAGGTAATATGATTATAAGTGCTTTATATATAATAACTAATTTAAGCCTCACAACACTACCAAGTAATTATTATAATCCATATTTTATAGATGAGGAAACTGAGACTAAATAGGTTAAATGTCTTGTTCAAGATTGTAGAACTAGTAAGCAGGAGAGATAAGATTTGAATCTCAGAAGTTAGCTCCAGAGTTTGTGTTCTGAACTACTATACTATAAATATATCCAGTACTCTCTTTGACATTCTATGCATATGTACAGATTACATTTAAGCTTCTGAACTCAAAAATACTATAAGTGAGGAAAATATATATAAAAACATTCTTGGAAAATATTTACAGCATATATTGTAGACAGAATAGAAGAGAATTTTAAAATATACAAATAATGTACAAATCACTAACAAATGGATGAAAGGAAGGTAAGAATGAAAAAGAAATGAAGAAACAACAACAAAAAAGACACAAACAAGCAGTTCATTGAAAACAAATACATGACCAATAAACTTATGTGTGCCACTCATCTTGAGAAAGTTGCAGTTAAAGCAATGACAAAATATCACTTTTGCCTACCACATTGTCTAGTATGGAAAAGCTTAATAATACTCAATGTTTTGAACAAGTTGAAGAAAAACAGACATTCACTTTCTACTGTTAACAGTGTAAATTGGTAGACCTTTTACTTGGAAAATTGGCAGCATCCATCACAAAATTAAATTTACCTATCATTTGACCAATGAATTCCACTTTCAGGTATTTATTCCATAGACATACAAGTGGCTGAAGTCACATATATACAAGAATGTTCGCTGCATCAGTATTTATATCAGTGATGTTGAAATATGGTCTGTTTGATGATGACAATTCATCAATTGTTGGTTATTAGTCTGGGAGGAGATAAGGGGTCAGAATATAAATCAACTAAGAGCTCTGTGAGTTCAGGTGACAATTTTTATTCATAGAAGTTTTTCTTGCAGTATGCTAATTTATATTCTGGGGTAAGCTCCTTATCTCAATGTAAAACAGCACTTTGAGTAGCACTAGTTTATAATAACCAAAAATAGGAAAAAATCCAGAAGTCCACCAAGGAGGTATTTGCTAAGTAAATTATAAAAGATCCAAAATAAAATCCTGTGCATTCATTTAAATAATGAAATCTACATAAATATAGATATGAAACATGTATACACATACACATGATGGAATGGAAAAAATATTACAGGATCGTATGAATACGGTAAGAAGTGCAAGATGAAAAAGTACAAGTTTGTATAAGCATAGAGTTTCTGGAAATAGACACAAGACATTGTTAAGCATGGTTATCTTTGGGATGTGGGATTGGGATCATGGAGAGATAGGGTATGGGTTTTTGTTTTTTATTTTAATCTTATGTCCTCCTACACTGCTTAAATGTTTCTACAGCTAGCATAAGTTATGTTTATACTTTTACAAAACATGAATTAAAATTTTAAATTTTGTTTAAAAGTCATGAATACAAGTCAGATTAGACTCACTACTGATCAAATTTCCAGAAGCTGGCTTTGGGCTGAAATTTATTTCAGAAGACTTACTGAGACAAACTTTACATGATTTTCCATGGAGTCATTCGTGTAAAGATGTAAAAAGCACATCAGCTTGTTTGTCCAAACTTAGAAACTGGTTTTTCTCACCTTAAAAAAAAAAGAGTTTATTATGGGCAATACATACACTTCTGCAACCAAATTTTTAGTCCATCTCTAAGATGTATCTCCAGCCTAGGAAGTGATAAAGTTAGGATTCTGTCCCTGCAATATGACAATCAGTCACCTAATTCTGATCATAACTGTTAAAAAAAAAAAAGGTGAAAAATAAAAACAAAACAAAACAAACAAAAAACAAACAAAAGAAGTAGAAGACCAGAAGACTTTGCTCAAGACGGCCCAAAGATGGTAGATCACAATATGAACTTGACAAAATCTGGTGGTCTTCTATGCTTCATGGAAACCACAGTTTATATTGCCAAAAATTATAGGATATTAAGTGTTTCAGAGTCATCTGGAACACATTAATAATCATTAACATTTGTACAGTACATGCAGTTTGCAAAGTACTTTTATATTCACTGCCTTATTTGATCTTCACAAGAGATCTTCAGAGTAGGTAAATTTCATAGATCAAATTTTATAGATGCAAACACTGGGTACACAAGGCTTATGCTTATTCCCCAAAGACACCAAGCAGTGAGGAAGCAAAGCCAGGTTATGCCAGTCCAAGTCCTTACCACCACACCACACTGCTTTCCAAGGCATGGCCGACCTAAGCCGCCCCAGACAGAAGAGTCTGGGTGGCTTGCTTACTCTCTGTGTTTATTTGCATGATGTTATGCTGTTGAGCTGGATGAGTTTAAAAGCAGACCATGGCTGTTGCCCCTGTTTGTTAAACACTGCTACTTGGAGCAGGCAGGGATACAGAGAGCAGCTTGAGTTCTTCGTCATCTTGAACAAGATCAAGCAGGATGAAGAGAGGGAAAAGCAATTCTAGCCGATATGGATGAAGGAAGCTCTCCCACATGCTATGTTTTCTATTGGCATTTCTGTTCTTTCCTACATTTGTTATACTTTATTCTTTACTCTGGGAAGTTCAAGGTAGTAATCATAAAATGATCTTTCTTGAAGGTCTCTCTAACTCTGATCCCAACTATTATTATTCCCCAGCAGTCTTTCATGTCAGACCTCTTTCCTTTCCCAACGCTCCTCATGCAACTCTCCGTATCCCAATACACTGTGTGTATTGCTACTTTCTTGCACACAAACCCTATATAGAGGAATTATAATTATGTGATAATACCTTCCATTTATTAAGCACCTATTAAATGCCAGGCACTGTGGTAGGCACTTAGAACACTTTATGTGATCTCTAAACCTTGTAGCCAGTCTACAAGCTATGACTCATTCCTTTCACTTTGCAGATGAAGAAAGCCAAGTCCAGAATGACTGAATCTGAATCTTATATAGTGGGTGACGGAACTGAGATACATAGATCTGTCTAACTTCAAAGCCAAGATTCTCTCCAGTACATAGCACACAGTGATAATGCTTATTGTATTAGCTATTCAAAGAAAGTATTTAGTGCAAATGTTCATTTTAAATTTATGTATGTATTTTAACAGTTAGCATCATACTCTCTTTTTCTCGGCTCTTAAAAGGTAGGTTGGTGGTCTAAGGTGATGAAAAGCAAACCTAATACAAATGCAGTGCTCCCATATCATATCCCTTACCAACCTAAAGAGACTTACGGCATATAATGGACCCTTCTGTTCTACTTCTTTCTCCACCTGGTCAACTCTCAAAGGAAAACAAAATTCATATGATCATTGAAGTCTAGAAATTAACTTTTATTTTCAATCTGTCAAGAACTCCTGGCAGTTATTAATTTTATTAAAATGATTACATATGGCAAAACAAAGAATAGAGGTAATTCTATTTCTCTACAACATAAATTATGAGTTAGATTCTTAGCTGCTGGCTCAGCATTGTTCAAGATTCTTTTAAGGATTGGGGGGAACTTTAATTTCCAGAAAATGTTAAAGCAGCAAAAGAAAAAATAAATTAAAAGTAATTGCAATTGGAGATATTGCCAAGGATATGATAATTATAAAATCTTCTTGATGTGTTTATAGGCCAGATTCCAAGCTTTGGTATTTAAAAATAAAAATTATGTGAAAGCTCTCCTATAATGCCTTGTCATCCATAGTTTATAACACAGAACGAATTTGCTGATTCTTTTTAAAAGGATGGCAAAAATGAATTATGACTAATTCAAATAAAAAACAACCAGCATCCATTCATCTAACTGAAATATGTCAAAACAAAGTCAATTTTATTAAAATATTTAATACCAGAATAACTTATAATAGTATGAAAAAGAGTGAAGTACTTGTCCTTAGCTTTCTTTGACATGATCACATTATGACAAAATTAACTGGTAAAGATTCGAAAGTTTTTGTCAAGGATCTGTAACTATTTAAGGATGTAAACCAAATGAACTCATACTTCATCTGATCATACAGTCATAACTTAACATATCCTGCTTTGCACTTACTGTTACTGCAAACAGCAATTTAGAAAACAAAGTAAAAATATATATACAAAATATTTTTATATCAAATTATTTTCATTACACTAAATAAACCCAAACCCCAAATACTATGTTACATGAAAAAGTGTCCTACGATTTATATCAAGATTGATATTGTCCACATATCAACTAGAGCAGCCTTTGGTTTGAAAAACATTTTGCAAAATAAAGAAAAATATCACCACATGGCTGCACTAATGGCTCTCATTCACACTCACAAAAAAGCTTTCCAGTTAAAAAAAAAAAAATTACAAAATAGATTACATACCCAGAAAAAACATCCCACCATAAAAGAGTCAAATCCTTTTTACTTCTCTGTAGCACATATTCTCTCTTATATTTGGCATCTCCACTGTTTATTCAAGTTTCAAGTCTCCCCCAGCTGATTAGAATATTATTGTTTGGTTGAAAACTATATTCTTCTTTCCTGATACTGATTATTCTCACTCAGTGATAGTCTAATTTAAAAACGAAACGTTCCTTCTTTTAATGCATGAGTTCACTTAATTTTTACTTTAATGTCCTGCTTGGCAAAATGCAAAGACTGTCAATGTTTGTTTTCCATATGTTTTAAATTTAAAAACCAGTTTTATGAGTGTATATGTATATTCACATAAAGATACATTTCTTTCATTGTCTTGTTCTCGTTGCAATACAAATTGTCCATCAGCAATTATAATTTGAAATGAACCAACTAAAAGGTTTTTTAACCATTCCACATGAAAAGCTTTCCATCACAAAAAGCACTGAACTTTAACGCAAACAGGATTATGTGTTAAAACTAAACTATAGGTTTAGTTCTACACGGCAACATTTTGAGTAATTTATATAATAAAATTTTTAAGAACTTCAGCGAAATTTAAGAAAAAGAAAATCCAAATGAATTCTAAAAGGGCATTGTGGTATTTTCCAGCAATGCTTGGAAAAAGTTCTTCAGATCACAATGTATTCACTGGATTCTTTTTACGTGTACATGTTATGTGATCACCGCTCCTTTCCTTTTGGAACTTTGTAGTGTGTCTGATAGGCAGGCAAGATACATGCATGAAATTCTCACTGTCACTCTGAAAAGCATGCTCAACAATTTTAAATGCTGCAGAAGTTGTTTTTTTAAGAGGAACGTTTCATTTGGGCTGAATAGATGTCCAAGTTGTAACACGTGAATTACTGAATACATTGTGAGGCCTTTCAGCGCGTGTGGTTTCAGTCCTGGAATGGTCAGAGGCCCGTCTGGAGTGACACACAGACGAACAAGCATGGCGGTGTTGTCATTTGAGGCATAGCTGCTCCACTACGCCCACGTTGCTGCTGATTTTTGGGAAGCAAGGCACTTACTGTAACGGCAATGCAGACACCTGATGCATAGTTTGAGTAATATAAAATAAGTTACTATTTTTGATTAAAGTGAGGTTTTTATAATTTATATGTCTTTTATAGAAGCAACTAAATGATATAGTTAGGATAATTAAAAATAAAAAGAGGTTTGAAAGGGAGTCATTTCCACTTCTGCTTCGGCTCGTAGGAGGAGGCTTTATGGGAAAACACTGACGTGAAGAACAGCCATTGGTCTGAAAAGCAACAAACCCTTAAAACTGGTGGACCAGTGGCACTTTGACGGTCTTGACTTCTGCTATATGTGACGACTTCTGGATGATGCAGCTGGTGGTTCCCTGCAGTGTGTCTTTGCCCTGTGCAAGATTTGTTAAGGCCATAGCGGCATTAATCTCCTTCCAGTATGTGTCATCCTTGCTTGGTCCCTTCCTGTGGGCTGCACTGGATTTAAGCAAGAAAAGAAAGATAATGATCAAACCCACTGCAGTGTACACAGAATATGCCATCAGTGAAAAGCACAAATGGCGGATAAAAACATATTTCTCACCTGTCACCCTTATTGGATCCATTTTCCAGAGCGTCTGTAAAGACAAGCAAAAACTCAATTATTTTTCTTTCCTTGTTTCTTTCTGTTTTAATCTCTGGAGTTGTCTCATTAATGACCAGGAATAGAAGCTCATCAGGAAATATGGTTGAAAATCAGTTAATTTTTTGTTTAACAAAGATAAAGTAGTTTAAGATACTAAAGAAATCTCTCTGCAAAGAAGCAGGAATAAGATGAGAACAGGTAATAAAAAATGCAAAATAGCTTTCATAAATATACAAAAATCTGACATTGATTTATTCCAAGAAATTGGATTTTTTAATGAGGAGGCAAACAGTAGAGGGACAAGAACCCTAACTCCTCCTGCGGCCAGGTTCTGATCTCACTCCCCCACTCACCTGCTGTACCTTCGGACAGGCTACAATGCTCCCACAAAGTCTGGGATGCAATTTCCTCAACTATAAAATAAGAGAGCTCTTAGAACTTCAGGGTGCCTCTGGTTCAACCTTCTATGACTTCGTGGGAATCAAACCGTGATTTCAGAAAACAGATTGACAAATAGTTCCCTCTGGCTAACTAGCAAATGAGTGGCAGATTCAGTGCAACAGCACAGGGCTTCTGGCCCTATTAGAATAAGCAGGCACCAGTCTTCTAGCTGCAAAGGAATCCTTCCCACTGCAGGAAATGAGCATTATGGGGTGAGCTTTGCTTATGCACTCTCTCTTTTGGTGTATATTTCCTCCCTCTCTTAGGCACTAATGTCTACCAGTGCAAACATCAATATCAAGAAAGATGAAATGGGCTACTAATCTTGATTAATTCTCCCTAGGTAGCTTTTAGGGTAAAAGAATATGGTACTGGGAACCCAAAAATAGAAATGCTGGAGGGAAAGATATACAGAGGGTAAAGAGGATCTGCTAGCATGGCATGGGAAATGGGGACAAAGGAACAGGGTTGAGACTCCCCATCAGCCTATGAGATTTCAAAACTAAGTTAAGTTACGACCACCATCACTACCACCACCATCATCATCATCAACAACAACAAATAACAACAACAACAACAATAAATAACAACAACAACAATAAATATTACCAAGTAGTTATGAAATGAGGCACTTTGCCCTATACAGGAAACATGAAAACCGGGGTATTTACTCAAGACCTCCTTCCAGTTGTATGGCTTTGGAAAGCTGTATTTTCCCGCCCTCCCTCCTCTCCCTTTGTTTTACCTCTCTCAACCCAATATTTTTTGAAGACATTTTTTTCCCCTCTGCAAGGCTCAAGGCTAGTAAGGCGAGGCAGCATAATTTTCCAGTTCTGGGCTCTAAGACAGTAATGGGACTTGAGAATAAGAGCATCAACATGACCATAATACAGTGTGACCAGGGTAAAATTTTCCAAGGAAGATATGTTCAGGAGAAAAATGATTATATGTCCATGGAGAGGAGGCAGCTAAAGTCCTGTGTCCTCTAGGAAGGAAAAGAATTAGGAAAGCCTGTTAGTGCATCCTGAGTCAGGCCTCCTGGTGTGGACCTGGGGGAAATAAAGGGTCACTATGGGCTCTTTGTAGAATCCTTCCTAGGGTCCCAGGGAGCTTTAAAAAAAAAAAAAAAGGCAAGCCAACAAAACAAAAACACTTAGTGCATAAATAACAAGGTTCTTACGAGGAATAAATGAGATGCTATGTGTCTGGCCCAAAACAGAACAACAAACATTAGTCCCTTTCTTTGATCTCCTTTCATTTAGGAGTCCTTTGGGGAAATAGCTCAATCTGTGAGCAGCTGGATGGTCACCGACTGTATCTTCTGGTCCCTACTAGGTTGGCCTGGATGGTTAGCTATATTTCGGTTGCTTTTGATATTTTTGTAACTATGCAATTACTTATGTAATTGAAGAAAGAGAATGACAATTTTTAATTCATAGAACTCCAATAATCCCAGTTTACAGATCCCTTCCTCTGTGCCAGGCACTATTCTAAGCACTTTGTGTCTTAGCTTATTGTGTATTAGTGCCTCTGTACATGGATAGCATGTCTCTGTTATGTCTGTTAAGTCACTCTTTGTTTCGTACTATTATCTGTAAATCTTTACTCAGGAATGACAGAGACAACGTACTACAAAAACAGAGAACAAGTCAAGGTCTTTGTTTAGGAGGAGGAAAGCCAGCAACACTGGATATTTTACAGAGGAAAAAAGAAAGAGTTAAGCCTTTGCTCAATTTTGCCCACAAATTGCAACAATTCTGTTGCCAAAGTGAAGCAATAGGTTATGGAGATATTTATTCAATGGAAAGACTTGGCAAAAGCAGAATAAGTTCCATGAAGCTTAAATAACATTAGGGAAATAACAAAACATAATTTAGAAAAGACCATGTAACTGATGCTCTGGCTTACAAACAAAGCAGTCTCACATATTCAAAGGGGACCAGAGGCGAATTCCCTACCTGAATGATCAACCCAAGAGTGATTACCGCACAGACGACAAGAAGGAAGCCTGTGGCCATCAAATATGTAATGGGTTACAGAACCCAGAAATGCCATAAGTGAGTGGAGCCTACATGTGAATTCACCGTTCAGGTCCATGGAGAGATTCTGTTTAAGAGGAAGAGTGAACGCATACGTCGTGCAGCGCGGTCAGCAGCTGGATGCTGGTAGCACTGCGGCTAGTCTCCCTGAAGTCCTTCCACCGAGAAACAAGTTTACTACAGCCAACTGCGAAATTATAAAATTCTGCTTACTCTCCGGGTGTATGAGTTTTACAGCTCAGTGCCTATGAAAATACCTTTGAAGTGTAAAACCTAGATTCCAATCCCTGTTCGGGTATTCTTAATTAGTTTCACGATTTCAACAAGGTCCCCCAGCAACATTCAAAAGACTGCCTCCTGTGTTTCATTTCTAAAGCTGACGGGTATGTTCAGTGTCATTAGGTATGGATTCAGGTTCTTTTCCCAGCAATAGAAGAAAGGTCTTCATAAAAAGTAAGGAACAGAAGAGACATTTTGCATCTCTAGCAAGAGCAACGCGAAAACAGGGTGTAACAAAGCTCAGTGTCAAACATTTCAAACCAACAAGAAAGAGGTGACTACTACTATTTGGGGCGGAGGGGGGTGGGGAGAGTCTCTGTGTCCAGGGTGCTTCTGGTTCAAAACATAAATTGGTGTTAGAAGGGCGTGCTTTCCCTGTTGCTGTTATTGGTGGGTTGCCCAGTGTCACTAGGATATTCTGCGTCCAAGAGCCACCTCCTGCAGAGTAGTGTGTTCTAGTTCCCAGAAGAGCTAGCAGAAGCAAGATAGCAAACAGGGGTCCTTTTACTCTGAAACATTTGTGCTCTTGCAGGAAAGCAAAGGGCAATAAAGATCTGCTGGTTAGGGAAGATTGTTTTTCCAGTCCTTATTCTGAGATGAAATCTGGGGAAATACCCCAGCTATTTTAGAGAACTGACATCATTGAGGGGAACTCAGAAAAGGTACCCTCTACTCCTTACATTAAATAACTCCATTAATTGTGAAGATGCTTTTTTCTTATGCTTTTTTCTTTTGAAGTGTAAACTAGCTGGCTTTTATCTGATTCAAGTGTTTTGCTTCTTTTCAGCCAATAGATACGTGCTCGGTGGGGGGGGCTCAAGCCACTTCTACACACAGCAGACAGGTGGTCTCCCTGGCTCCTGTCCAGAAGTGGCATCCAGTCACAGTCTGCCAGGAGAGGGAAGGATTCTGAATGCCGCTGGAAAGAGAGAAATCCGAAGTCTGAGCCAGAGCAGACGTTTCCCTGCTGTTAATGAGCATGCACAGACTTGGGGTCTGACTGCCCTACATTCAGCTCAGCTGTATCTCTCACTCTGCAAGTAGCTTGGCTCGGCCTATCCGAAGTCTGGGCTAAAATGCCTTTTTAGATTCTAAGTTTCCAAAAATCAGCTACGCTGTCAATTACCATAAAAGCAACTGGTTGGCAGGAACAACTTATTGAACCAGCCAAAAGAGCGTGTTTTAAGACCAAAAAAGAAAAGGAAAGAAAAAAAAAAAAGAGGTGCGTAGTTAGGAAAATCTTGGATGCCGTAAAACCCAAACCATGCTGAAACTTAAAGTGGGGCTATCCTCAGTTTGGACATGTGTTTCCTTATAAAGTTATGTAGAGAAACAATTACACTGAAAACCACTTCTATTGCCATTCGAGATGTGGAAGCACCAAGCTCTGTAGGCAGAGTCCACTCGACTTTGATAAACGCAATCTAGAAACATATTAATTCTGATATATATTCCTGAAGTAAGAGTTATGGTCATAAAAAGAGATAAAAATATGGTCAAATCTCTGAGTTTTTTTTTTTTTTCAAATTGAATCAATAAGCCCTTAGATTAGGAATGTTTAAAAAGATTCCACAAATGTGGAGCAGAAACTCACATCACTTAGGTGTAGATAAAAAATATGAGGATTTTAAAAAATTAAATAATTTAAAAATCATGCACTACGTATTTCCCTAAATGGAGATGGAGTGATTCAGAGATGCAGATGCTTGACCACCGCTCCCCCTCGCAACTGTGTCCGTTTTGGGGCCATCACTGGGGACAGCTGATGTGGACAGCCAGGGTTTGGTGTGTTTCTGATCTCAGAGGTCCCAAGAGCCCCCAGGACACCAGATCAGTTTCTGGAGTTATTTACATACTTGGAACAGTTGAGATAAAGAGCAAGGCTCTGGCAAACCGGACAGATGGAAAACCTTCCTGAAGATTACGAAATGCCGACGGCTCTAAATCTACAGGACCTTACCCCAAACGGACGGGGCCATCCCTGAGGCTCCCTGCTCCCACCTCCATAGTCTCTATCTTTACTTCCCCACATACTGGATCCAGGCGGGGGTCACACACACACCTAAAGATTGGTTCCACTATAACTCTATACTGTCCTTTTAAAAACAGCATATGCTGTGTTTTTTTTTTTTTTTAAGATTTTATTTATTTATTTGACACAGAGAGAGAGAGATCACAAGTAGGCAGACAGGCAGGCAGAGGGAGAGGGGGGAAGCAGGCTCCCTGCTGAGCA